GGGCCCCCCCCCCCCCCCCCCCCCCCCCCCACCTGTTTGCGCGGGTTGAAGGTGACGTGTCCGACCTGGCGGATGTAGCACGAGTACGGCTCGCCCGGGCGGTGCGGGACGTTGTTCCCGCCCAGGGTCATCGTGACGCGACCCTCTCCTTCGCTGGTGGGGTCTGGCTCCTCTCCTCCGCCGTCCCCCGCCTGCCCCCTCGCGGGGGTCGGGCAAGGCGGCGTGTGCGTGACCTCGAGGGCCGCTTGGTTGGGCTGTCCTCCGTGGAACACGAACATGAAGGTCGTCGGTGTCGGCGCTCCTTCTGCCACCGTCTGGTTCTTGGCGTGCACCCGGAAGGCCTCCATGTGAAACGCGCAGTGCTGTTGTTGACGATGGGCGGGTGGTTTTTCGCGGGTCGGCGGCGGCGGCGGAGAGGAGAGAGTTGTTCAGGGTGGAAAGGCCACCATGGTGTCTTGAAGGCGACACAGGCGAGATGGCTGTTGTGGGACCGGTGCACGGCGCGAACGTACTCGGAAGTTCGTGCCACAACCCTGCGCTTGGGTGCGTACCCCGCCCGGCGACGAGAAGCAGGAGGAGGGGGTTGCTCTCGACACACGCGGACCAAAGGCGGCGCGACTGCATCGGGTCAGGGCTTTACGGTCTTTGCTCGAACCCGCTCATACCCTCGACTTCCCCGCTACGGCAGCAGCCGTCTGCACGAACCAACTTCCAACGACGGGAGGACAGACCTGTTTCGCAACAGGGCCCCAGTCGGAAGTAAAAGTTGACAACAGCACGCGCGGGCTTTGACAAACAACCACACGTAACTAATCTACGTGCGGGCAGGAGACGGCCGCCTCTTTGTAACGACAACCACCAATTTTCTCTGCCTCTCTCTCCCTCCTCTGTCTCTCTCTCTTGGCTGTTTCTCTTCCACACGCACACATAACCCAATAACCACATGGTTGCCCCGTTCGCTCAAGCCATATGTTTCATTGGTCAGCCGGTTGATGCAGTCGATGCTCCTCAAAGAACAACACGAAAAACACACGCACAAACACACACACGTACCGTTGGCACTGACGTCTTTTCATTGGTCAGCCGGTTGGCGCTGCCAATGCTAGTTAAAAAAAAACACACACACACACACACACACCTGCAGAATCTCCCCAGCGTCGGAAGCGTCTTCCGACTTCACCACGACGCACGCCGGCACGTCCAGGGAGCTGACCCTCCTCATTTGTCTCTCGCTGGCCATCTTCTGTGACCGATCCACCCTGTAGGCACAAACCATTGGACGAGGCACACGAATGACGTACCCGACAGTTGACGAAGCCATGCTCAACGATGCCGAAAAAACAACCTTGCAACGAAGCCTTGCAACGAAGTGAAAGAACATGGACAGCATGTTCGCTCGCACCCCCCCTCCCTCCCTCCCTTCCTCCCTCAGACGGAAACAAACTGTTTCCTCTAAGCGAGTCCCGCTGGGAGTTTTTTCGAGCGCGTGCGTGTTGGCCATCCTGCGATTTCTAAGATCATTCGTGGGAAGATGTATCGAAGTCGCTGGAGTGTGTCAACGGTTGCGGTCGCTGGAATATTCGGCACACTCGCAAATCCACACAACCGCGCATGCGTGTGGCGCTCAACCTAACCCCGAGTTCCGGAGAAAATGCTGCTGCTGTGGCCGGAACCAAGAAAGAGGTGAGCGATGACGCACGCGCGGTACCGACAAAATATGCCCTTCCCCTTAGGAGGCACGTTTCGAGACAGCGGTATCAGGACCCCTCCTCAATAGTATTGTTGTTGTGGTCGATGATGTTGTTGTTGTTGGTGTCTTCACACAGAAAACCATTCCAGCCTCTGCTCGTTCAACTGACGAAGATGCCTTCTGTAGATACAGGCCAACTACAGCAAACAGGGTACACAACTCTAAGAATCTTGCAACAGAGAAACACATCACATCACGAAAGAGACTAGTCTACTACTGTGCCCGTCGAGTGACATCGCACACGAGCGACATCGCGCACGGAGGACTACTGGTAGGTGTATGCTGCCCTAAAGATCCTACCAAAATAACTCACCGCTTTTTGGTGTTGTCGACCAGCGTGCCGTCCTGTCGGCAGTCCTTTTTCACGTGCCGCCGCATGACCATGCTCGAGGACTTCCTGCGCTCGTTCGCTTCCTCGTCCTTGGTGGTGGGGAAAAGTCTTACGACACCCACGAGGGAGATCCAGACAAAAAAACGGCCAGCAGCAGCAGCAGCAGCAGCAGCAGCAGAAAACACGCCGCGCAAAAGGGATGGCGGGCGCGGGGGGGGTTCGATTGAGGACGGTACGCCAAGGGGCCAGTCGTATCGGGCACCAAAACGCCACCGCTCTCGCTCCCGGTATCTTCTTCGACCACGCCAACCGGCTGACCAATGATAGTATGCATATGTCAGTCTTATCGTGGGGTAGCAAAACGCTTCAAAAGGCTAAGATCTGGGGTCCTGTGATGGTGTCTGTGGGTGTTTGCTAGCATTGACCGCGCTAAACGGCCGACCAAGAAGAAGGCACCAGGGTGTCTTTACTGTTAGCATCGACTGCGCTAACTGGCTGCCGAACAACAATATGTCAATGCCAGTGGGGCAAAAACGGAATACGTTTTAAGAGGGCATGATCTGGGACCCCGTGAGGGGGGGTAATGCGCGAGGCTATAGGACGTTCTCCGGAGTAAAGACACAAACGGTAGCAGCAGATGGAGAGCAATGCACGTGTGGTGCGGTTCGTGAAACGCATCTGTGTCCACGGGGGCATCGAAGCAGGGCGTTTGTTTGCCGTCATCTCGAACAGTGGCTCATTACGCAGAGATATGTAGCGTACTCCGCAACTAACCGAGTTTCCACACCATGCGTACGCCCATATCTGCATAAATTTACTGTGTACGGCACAAGATAACACCCCGAAGACAAAACACCTGACAAGCACAAACAATACCACACCAGGTGGAAATACTTTCACGGGTCAACATGGGTCCAAAACAAAAACCAATTGGCAGACCAAATAAAAAGGGGCACATGAAATACCTCACTCGCCCACACAACACTCCAAGTTTCTGGTACGGTTCAAAACGTTGGACACCACCAGGTGTGTATTCTTGTGGTAAGTGACTGTGCACGTACGTACATACGGTCGCCACCATTGTATTTTTGTGCCACCCTCGGGTTCTCGCTTCTCTGGGTTATCAACAGTTTTGGTATGGGGTGTCGGGGTTCGGGTGACCAGGTTTCGACACGTTTGGACCCAAATGTTAAGTGCTTACTCCTACAATCCTGTACAGACGACACGGCGCAAACAACGGAGGGCCATTCCACCGAACGAACTGGGTCCAGCTAGATTGGTCCACCCTCGATCATAGGCTATCATACACCTTAGTGTCCTCAGCGGCAGGGGGTTATTTTCGTGTACCCCGGCGGAGAATATCACACACCATGGTACATGTTTTGGGAACCCAGCCTTCACGCTGCTATTGAACAAGGTGCAAAAAACGAGGCCGCCCACGGGTCCTCCACAATCAATCCATCATTCATTCCGGCAACATCGTAGAACGAACGTATCTACATGTACGCTCTGGAGAAAAACCCATCAAGCCCGTCTGCCTTGTTTCGGACCCCATGCGAGACCCCATGCAGAGTTCACCTAGACCTTCAGTTTCCCTGCTATACTCCCGGCATGTGTGCCGCCGGGAGACCCGCGCGCGTAACATCGTTAACACCAAGATACAAAAAATATATTTGACGCGAGAGCTGGCTTCTCTCTCTCTTGCATCTCGTTGATGAGTGACGTCTCCCATGTAGAATCACACACCTGCTCTGCTTTTGGAGGAGCACGAGGAGTCGAGGCGAAAGAGAGTGTGCGAGAGAGACCGCAGAGACCTGAACCAACTAGGTAGTGTGTAGGTCCTGCTGTTGATGCGCCGGGTGAGATGAAAATGATGGGACACCGACATGATGAGGTCTACAATACTGCATGATCCAGACTCCAAATTCGCAAGTTCCCACATGTTTTGATTGCATAGCACGTGTTGTTCGGTCGTCATCGTGCACGCATACATCCTCACACCGACGCCTTGGCTCAGTCTTCGATCTCAGGCGCCCGTTACACGTCTCCTTTCACGCAGGTGGTCAGCGTTGGGACGGATTCGTCCAATCGACTCACCTCTCATTTTTCGGAGCGCCGGCGACAGCGTTCGAAAACAAGGGATTATGAAACCCGCTAACCGCGACATCGTCCTGGGCGTCCGCTGCCGCCTCCTTGCCAATACCAACCAATTCCGCCATCTTTCTCAACCGTCCCACACACGTCTTCACCACCTCGTAGTGCGGAGAGGATTCGTGTGTATCGTAGCGTGTCTCGTGGGGTAGGGTTGTGAAGAGAGAAGAAGCCACAGACGAGAGCCGAGCGCCGAGCGACAGAGAGTGCAGTTTTCCCGGAAAAGAAGGTTCAGAATTCGAACCTGGTACTGTAGTTACGATTCGGCGAGTTACACACCAGCTACAAGTAGATCGGCTTCTCGCCATCTCGGCATGATGGCATCACCACTGCTGTCCACAGATTCATATGGATCGTGCATCGATCCATCCATCGATCCATTTCGACTGTGGTAAAGAGGATGTGCGCAAGAAAGCTAGCACATTCTACCTGGTGTGTCGAGAAAGGAGGAGAGCATAAATGCGTTGAGTTACCGTCCCGGGGGGGGTCGAAACAGAGGTGCAACGGTTGAAATCGGCATCTCGGCACCTCCCTCCTCCCTCCCATCTCTATCCAAGATATTCGTTGTGTAGTTATACAATAGATTACTCTGGGCTCAAGGACTTGGTGTGGGAACAGGCTTCCAGGTGCACAACACACGGGAGGTGGGTTTGTAGGAAAATAGTCCGAGGGTACACTGCTGTGTTGTATCTCGTTGCGCATACAATAATACTGATATCTTGTAGCAGTCTTTTGGTGTCATCCCGTATATATATGTAGTTGGTCAGCCACTTCAGTTTTTAACGTTTGTTGTTCTTGATGTTACAATGATCATGATTAAATTTGGGAAGTGCACTATCGTGAGCCGAGCAGGAGCGATGAGCCCTCTTTCTTTTTCGTCCTGGATGAGGCCTTCCTGTTTTCTATTTTTCTTTTTCCGGTTATACTACGATCGTCTCCCGGTGTGTTTCTTTCGTGATCTGCTGTACTACTGTATTTATGTACTACAAACTTTACTTGTACCAGTTTTGCTGTTTAGTTTGACGATTTTCTGGGTCCATTTATTAGTTATATTACCGTTTTGAGTTCTGTAAAATATGTGGCGTAGAGTGTAGTTGGCCTACATATGAAAGCTTCCGCGTCAGTTGACCGGTACGGATCTTTGAGGGTGTCAGTAGTAGTGAGCAGAGACCGGCACGGGTTTGTATGTGAAGACAACAACAACAACACTAAATCTTGTCGGCACCGTCGGAAGTCACGCAACAAGGCCACACAGCAGCTTCTTAAACACGGGGTATGCATATGCTGGCAATTTGGGCTGCTGCGACGAAGGATTTTGGAGTGGCTGTTGCTGAAGCAAGGTTTGTTTTTCGTTGCAAGAGGGAACAGGAAAAGACGAGCCGAGCTATTGCATTAGACGGGAGTCCGCATCGTTCCCATGATAATGGACCTAAACCAGGCCGCCGGCTGGAACAACAACGATTCGCACGAAAACATGCCACATACAGTACTTGTAGAACCTGGGGTCGGAGGTGAGAAGGTGTCTGGCACAGCTCGCGGCTGTCTGTCAAGCAAGGTGAGTGGGTGGAGATGCACGACCACGGTGCTCGTCACACAAACACCTCCTCTCCTCTGCAGGAAATGAAACCATGAAATATCATGCATCGACGCGTCGCACTTCATCAGCTCGCTGCATTCGGCGGATTCGCCGAGTTGCAGGCACAGCTTGTTGTTGTCTTCACATTAAAATACGTTCTGATCTCTGCTCAGTACCTTTTAACATCCGTACCGGTCCAACTGACGACCGGACACCTTCCTTTTGTTGACAACAGGCAACAACCACCCGAGAAGGGTACATGGTACAATTTCGTGTTAGAAACGTGGTTTCATTCAATAGAGTACACCCGCCCAACAGCCCACCGTCGTAAAAAACAATGCCCGCCCCACACAACGTGCAGACTCACGCGCACTCGACGTATCTACCGGGGATACGAGTGGTGCAGCCATACTCGTCAATACTGCTGTGGCACCTATAGCGTTCGCCTCTCCACAGTATTCGCGGTACGCCTACACAACGTGCAACGTCTCCCCCCGTTTCTTCCCTCCGGCAATTGTACAGAAAGTAAAACACATTTAGAGCGTAAGGCTCCACGTATAATAGAGCTACCGCTTTATGTAAATCTGACACAAACCCAAAACATATCACAACATTTTAACATGGTATTGCGCACTCAAACACTAACTGCAATATAAAGCCCAGACCCATAGACATGTGTCCTGTGTGCTTGGGAAACCTACTCTACGGCCTGCTGCAGCGGCAAAAGAACAGCCGTGTTACCGACTTGGGTGCATACACAGGCATTGCACTAATCACGATAGACGTGCAACCATCAACGCCAACCACGACAAAAAAGAAACAATTAGCTGACCATCCCTTTCCTTTCAGCACCAACAAAAAAGAACACGTACCACCAATAAATAAAAACAAAACAAAAAACTCAACCGGCTACCACGCCGCATTTCTCCTGCCCAACTCCTCCCCTTCTTTCTTCATCATGCTGCCGTAGAGGGCTACAGCAATTGCCCCGCAAAGCTCCACATCTATTCCATCCCTAGCATCAACCAAATAACGAACCCACACACACGACTCATCCTCCCCTCTACAGTTTATTCCCCCAGCCTTTTCAAACCGAACCTCCCATACAGCCAACCACCTGCTTTGGTAGCTCTGATGCGTGCAGCGAGAAAACCGTCACAGCAGTCCATCAGCAGGGTGCAATAGACGAGCACGGAATATGCGATTGCCTTCCTCTCCTCGAGGAAAAAAACTTGGTGGTGTGCCTACCCACGCATGCATGCCTCTCCAACTCGACCAACTCCAGTTATGGTAGAGAGAACAACAGCAGTGTCCAGAAAAACGCCAGGAAAAACAGCAAAACAAGAACTAGAAGGTACAACAATCGCCCTTGAATAGGGAAAAAGACACGCACGACGGAATGTCAGCGGTGAGGGAAAGAAAGGGAGGGGGGGGTGGGGGAGGGGCAGGGGGGGGCGACCACCATTGCGGTTTGCTCTGTACTTGACCCCTGGCTAATAAACGGCGTTGCTTGAATTCCAATACAAATCAGAGCCGGAATAAATCAAAGCGCCACTTAAGGTTTTGCTGAAATCGAGTGTGGCTTGGGTGTCAATAGACCAGTGCCTTTCGTAGCACACGTGCAGTACATTTATCAACTTTCCCGACTTCACGGGATCTTCCTTGGTTGTTTGCTCTTCTTTCTCGCACGTGCAAGTACCACGAACGGATCGCACACACACAAACACGCACACGGCAAAAGCCTGACAGCACAGAATCTTGGGAGATGAAAAATCGATCGCTGGGCGGCACACATCATAACATCACATACACCCCACGTGCAGGAAGCACGCCCGGCGCGAACGACAGCTCAAGAGCCCCCGCTCCTTGGCTTGGCGCGCACCTGGCTAGACCAGGCCTCCATCTTCCCAACGTACCCCGACCACCAATCCGACGGCACTGCTGCGACCGACGGCGAAAATAACAAAATCATACAAGTACGTCACCGCCTTCCCCCGGTACTCGCCACATCTAACGTGCCGTTGTCTACACCCAAACAGTCAATAAAAAGAAAAAGCACAACAACTATAGTACGTATTACACGACGTCACACCCGCAGCATGCGCGAGCGCACAAACCTCGGCTGGTCGAAAAGACAGGCGTTCTCCGCCGGCCGTACGGGCACGCGAGGCATCACCCGCCACTAACCGCCAACAGCGCAGAGTTGAGTGTCGAGACCATTGTGCGAGGAGCACAGCCAGCCGGCAGCAGAAAAAAAAGGCTCGGCGTTACTCGTTAGAACACGCCTCCGTTCACCATCCTCTTGGCCTCTGCACAAACGCCTCGATCTTCTGAGAAACCAGGTACTGCGCAGTCTGAGAAACGGTCGCGCGGCGCGAGCGTGCGAAACACGGAGGGGACGGGGGTTGGTACAGGGCAAGAACAACGGCGGACGGCCAAGCTGACTTGAAACCCGCTCGCTGTAAGAAAGCACTCAAAACATAAAGAGACCGCCATGCTCTGAAACAACAACACGTCCCTAGACAAGAGCTGCACGAGGTTCTGGCAAGCCACGCACATGGGAGAGTAGTTCGCAACGCCCGAGGCCTCCCGCGAAAAATACTCCAAACCAAACAAAAAAAAAAGCATTTGCCAAACAAAGGGTGCTCTTAGTGCGTGTTTTCGACCAACGGAAGTTGCGTGTACTTGTGTGGCAGAAAGACTTCGCCCCCCTCAGTTCATTTCGAGCAACCTCGGCAACCTTCTCACCTGCGTGGCCTGCGGACCGCCTGTGATGGTGAGAATGCGGTTCTCCGTGCCGGGCATGAAAGCGTCCCTCTGGCTGACGTTGATCCTCGCCCCGCTAAGCGCCTGGAGCTCGCTGATGATGGCTCCCCCCGGGCCAAGGATCGCCCCGATCATGTTGTTCGGGACGCCCACGGTAACGGTGGTGGTGGGTTGGCACGACGCGATGGCAGCCGCGACAGGGTTCGTCATGGGCTCCATCGGGAACATCCCGAGCTGTTGCTGCGGCGGCTGCTGCGGCGGCTGGGGCTGCGGCTGGGGCTGCGGCTGTTGCTGTTGCTGTTGCTGATGCTGCTGCTGCGGCGGCACTGCCATGGCCGGGTAGCCGCGAGGCTGTCCATCACCCCCAACAGTGGCGACCGGTCCGGGCATGCTCGGAGCCGCCTGCATTCCTCCGTGGTGGTACAAGTTGCCGGCAGGCGCGGGGGCGTAAGACATCGAGTACACGGGGGCGGTGGCCGAAGGGTGTGACATCGGGCCCATGGGGGCCATTTGCATTGGGCTTGACACCATCGGTCCTCCTGGGCCCATGGGAAGCGACACCACCATGGACGCCGGCTGCGGCTGCGGCTGCGGCAGCTGGATTTGCGGCGGGGGCGTCGGCGGCGCGATCGAGGCCGGAGACATGGGCAAACGCTGCTGGTGGTGCTGGTGCTGCGGCTGCGCCTGCTGATGAAACTGAAGGCCCTGCTGCTGCTGGTGCTGCTGCTGGTGCTGGTGCTGCTGTTGGAACTGCATTGATCCCGACTGCTGACGATAAAACTGGTGCTGGCGGTGGGGCTGCTGCTGGTGCATCGGCTGCTGCTGCTGCTGCTGTCGGAACTGCTGAGGCTGAAACCTGTTCCCCACGTTCCCCGACCCAAACCCGCGACCAACCATTCGGCCACCGCCGCGGGCACCGCGGGCTGTCCTGCGGGGCGACGACGACGACAGCCTCGGGGGAGATGTAATCCTTCGACCAGTCGCACTGGTCGCCGGCGAGGAGGTAACAGAGCTGCCAATCATCACGGGGGTGACGACGGGCGAGGCGGCCGCCGCGACGGGACTGGCGGCGGCGGCGGCGGCGGCGGCGGCGGCGGCAGGGCTAGCGGCGGCGGCAGCAGCAGCTGCCGTGTCCGGCTCCGTGCCGGCGTCCGACGCTGCTTTCTGCGGTGTGGAGGGGTCTCGGGGGGCCCGCTGGTAAGGCAGGGGGGCAGGAACGATGCCCGCCGCCATCGCCGCCTTGGAGTGGCTCGTACCGTGGCTCCGGTAGTTGACGCTGAGGTTGGCGAAGCGGGAGAGCACCGGCTCCTCCACGAGCTTGTCCACCAGCATCTCCACGGCCTGACGAGCAGCGGGCGGGGCGGTGGCGGTGGGATGGTGAGGCTAGTAGGTGGAGTGAGAAAGGCACCGGAAAGCCTTCAACTGCCCCCAAGAACATGGTATCGTCGCCACAGCTATGCACGTTCAGCTGCTTGCTTGGATGCAAAATTATGCAGGCGATGTGCGTGCGACACACTGACAAGACTCCGACTGCCTGCTTACCTTGGTCGCCGACGTGAGCTTGCCCTGCACCGTGACCAGCCTCTCGTGCACCTTGACGTCTGCCTTCTGCCCCAGGGTCACCTTCGCGCCCGAGGCCGCCAGCAGGGCGGCGATGTTGGCTCCTCTGCGCCCGATCACCAAGCCGCCGGCCGTGAGGGGGATGAGCAAGCGCTGAAGCGAGAGAGAGAGAGGAACCCGATACAGCCGGGGATACAGTAACGGCGAGCGGGTTGGGTGGGCTGAAATTAGTGCCGAGGAGGGTCAAGACACGGCTGGCAGCATTGAAACGCTCAAGGGCATGTGTGTTTCGGATCCTACTCGTTCGAATCTGTTATACAACGTGGGCAACCGGCGTGCATGTAACGCGTACGTAGTCAACTCTGCGGGCGGTGGTGCTACCCAACTCCTTTGCTACACCGGTCTACACGCCTTGTGCTGCATGACAGCAGCGGCAAAGTACGGCGCATTGTTTCACCTGAGTAACTTCAATAGCTTCCGCCTTTTCCTGGCTCACAAGCTTTGCACATCCCGATTCGTTGTTGTCCGGGACGTGGAGAGTGTGCAGGATCAGACCGCAGGCTTGCTGTAACCGGCAAACGCAGTACCGGGAATGGGTGGATGGGTGGGTGGGTGAGAGGGTGGAGGTTGGGGAGAAGGGGGTCAAATCGGACGCGATATACATCATCATCTCAAACGTGTGTTGTTGTCGATCACATCGAGGAAAACAAGCCTTGCAGCGAGCGTTCTTCCAGGCGGCCAGGCCTTGCTCTTTTTTGCAACGTCACCCCCCAAGTTTGTTTTTCGAGATCCATCGAATCAAAGATGGATATGCGTGCGGGTACGAAAGAACCTCCGTTCTCTGTACGACCCCTCACCTCCCAATAAAACAAAAATTCCGTTGGTGTCCCGTGCTGTTCACCCGAGGGCATCTCTACCTTGTGTGTGTATGGAAGTTCCTCCCCCCCCCCCCCCCTTCCCAAAAAAACAATGCCTTCTGCTGCTGTCGTGTTGTCCTCTCACCTTAACCCCCTCAGTCTCGCCCGCCACCAACACCGCTCTCTCCATCGTCCCTGGGTAGTACATCCCGCTCGTCGCGATTCCCACCATGCACGAAGCCTTCAGCTGGATCTACACGATTATTCAGCCGAAGAACGTATGGGGGGGATGGGGGGGGGGGGGGGGGTCCAAAGGGCCCCACTTTATAATAAGAATAATGGGGGGGGGGGGGAATAAGGGGCGGAAGGGGAAAAAAAAATTGTATTAATAAACGGGGGGGATGGTGGTGGCACAACTGGAAAATGTGGGGGTAAGTAAGGGGGGGACTTTTTCTTCCTCCAAAGGTGGTTGAGGGAAGGCCTCTCGCGAATGGAAAACCACACCCAAAAACTCGGGGGGGAAAAAAAACCCCACCATCAACAAAACCCCCTGAATGGGGAAAGGTTGCCACTAACGAGGGTCAA